GGTGGCGGGTTTAACGACACATTTATATATTCAAGCGATCTACTCCAAAAAAACAACACCTCCTATGGCTTTGTGTGAACCATAAGGGTGGTCCGACATCAGTGCAGGCATCGCTCGCCACTGATGTTATCCGTGTACCGGTACCAAACTCAGGACACCAGTTTTCGTGGCCCAGTTTTCGTGGCCCAGTTTTGGTTCCAAAGTTTTGGTGGCCCAGTTTTGGTGGCCCAGTTTTGGTGCCACAGTTTTGGTGGCTCAGTTTTGGTGCCACAGTTTTGGTGCCACAGTTTTGGAGGCACAGTGTGCCAACCAATGCGCCACCGCTCCCCGCCCCATGTGTACGTTCAACATACGTTTATGCACGTGGCGTGTGTGTGTGTGTGCCGCACGTACGTTGTATGTGTGCACGTGTTCCCAGGGTGTTATACGTAATTGGTTTGTCATTCACGTCAACGCTGGTTTTCCTGATAATCCGATAACTTTGACCGCTTTCTGCTGGCATCAGCGTCACACTCTACTGCGGGCGAATTACTCGGTTCACAGGGGTTTCAGGTAACGCCTCCTGCAAATCGGAGTTATTTTGTTGTTTCTACATCCTCTATGAGCGCCTCTTGCTTCGTTTCGGAAGGCAATGCAACAAAGACAAAGGTCCCCCGTAAAGCCTTTGTACAGGACAACAATGTGTCTGCGTGAGTCTATGTAAACATGTATGTTGAACTTCTTTCGCACCGTACGTAGCCAACCGTGCTAATTGAACAACAAACTAAACAGCGGTGGCGCAGTGATTAGCGCACTTGTCCTCCGAAACATTATTTAAACTGCCACGCCCGGAGATCGATTCTACAAGTTAAGTGTGATCAACCATTAACACCACGGGTGCAATATTTTTTTACGAAGATCCCCAATATAGCCTGAACAGACTAGTTGGGGCAAGTGCTGTTAGCGAGTAGCACCTATGGCGGGTGCGTGGCCAGCACCACGCCCGGCCGCCTTTGTCTCCCCAGTGGCGATGTCAACACACCGCACCAGGTACTCATTTGAGGCCGAGTCGACCTAGGAGAGGCGCAGGACCGGTTCAGATAATCGTCACCGGTGTTGGCCGTGAGCGAGAATCGAACTCGCGTCGACCGGATTCATAGCGCAGTGCGCCAACCGCTGCCCCACCGCTCCCCATACAATGTACACACAGCAACAACACAATCAAACATTCCTACATTGAAACGTGGGTGGGGGGGTGGCAAAATTCAAGAGTGTCGGATGGAACTCGACTGTTGGTCACCACCCCTTGTAGCGAGCGACGTGCCCTGCCCCAAACCCCACTCACTCGCCTTGCTTAACAATCGACAACATCTTCTTGGTTCTTTCGGTAAAGTCACGTAGAAGGGAAGTAATAAAATAATAAAAATAAAACATAATAAAATAATTGTGAGAATTATTTTATTATGTTTTTTTATTATTTTATTACTTCCCTTCTACGTGACTTTACCGAAAGAACCAAGAAGATGAATCCCTGCAATCACGAAAGCTTTAAATCGAAATTTAAAATCGACAACATGTATTATCATGCGTTTGTTCTCTCATCCTCGTGTTCCGCTTTCGCTCCGACACAGCGTCGCTGGTCCCCGTCGACCAATAAGAGTCGCGGATTTACGCCGCCGTTTATTTATCTCGAAGGTCAACTTTGTGGCCCGCTTTTATTGAAGTTATTTCATCGGATTCACTTCCACGTGGCCGTTCTTCTATAATCTGTCGGCATCGACAAAAATCCGTTTCGGAGGAGGCAAAATCAAACGACACTAAAAAAATCCCCTCGCCTATTTATGGCCACGCGATTCGAGTGTGTGCATCATGCCTACACGTGTGCGTAGGCATGTACATGTACATGCGTGTCCGTCTGTATGTCTCAACAGACTTTAACAGACTGTTGGGGCAAGTGCTGTTAGCGAGCACCTATGAAGGCCGGCACGGCACACGAGGAAGTGGGTGGCCAGCAACGCGCCCAGCCGCCTTTGTCTCCCTGGCGGAGATGCTTTTACACACCGAATCGGGTACTCATTTGAGGCTGAGTCGACCTAGGGGAGGACCAGGACCGGTTCAGATAATCGCCGCCGGTGTTGGCCGTGAATCGAACTCTGCTCAAGACGTTCGTAGTGCAACGCGCTAACCGCTTACACCACCGCTCCCCCGTTAAGCCTATTACGGGGCATCTTTGTTTGTGTACGCACGTACGCCTGGGTGTGCATGCGTGTGGTGTGTGTGTGGTGTGTGTTGTGTGTGTGGAGGGGAGCGGTAGTGCAGTGGTGAGCGCCACCGCGCCACGAACCCCGCCGAGACGGAGTTTCAAGTTCCATGTATCAGGTGTGTCGCCTTGTGAGCCATGCGGCGCTTGAGTCGGGTGCAACCGCAACAAACAAAATGTGAACACAGAACATCTTAAAGCGACGACGCGCAACAGAAAAAACCCTGGATAAACCAGCAAATCGTTCAATTGCCGCTCATGAATATAACATCAGCGGCGAATATTTCAAACGGCCCTGAGTGTTCCCTGAGTCGGCTCAGCCTTAACTGACCGTAGCTACTTGATGCGGTGTGTACAACATCGGCACTGGGGAGACAAAGGCGGCCGGGCGTGGTTTTCGGACCACACCACCCATGCTACGGTGCCAGATTTCAGAGGCGCTCGCCAACAGCACTCGCCCCAACAGTCTGTTGAGGCTAGAAGAATGGGGGGGGGGGGTCTTTTCACGTGTGTTATGTATGGTATGTAGTTCAATGTATATATGTGTGTACATTTGGATTTAAAGCTTTCGTGACTGAAGGGTTTCATCTTCTTGGTTCTTTCGGTAAAGTCACGTAGAAGGGAAGTAATAAAATAATAAAAATAAAACATAATAAAATAATTCTCACGACGTTTCGGCCACAACGCAAGCAGCCGTCCTCAGGTGCTGTTTCATTCAGACGCTGTCGCCTCGACAGACCTGGTTTCACCTGAGGACGGCTGCTTGCGTTGTGGCCGAAACGTCGTGAGAATTATTTTATTATGTTTTATTTTTATTATTTTATTACTTCCCTTCTACGTGACTTTACCGAAAGAACCAAGAAGATATGTGTGTACACTCACACACGCGTGTGTGTATACGTGCGCCTGTGTATGTTTAACGAACGCGTGCACTTTTGCGAGCGCGACGTCGACGCGACATGCAGCCGAGACAGGAAGAGGAACACGTGGATTAGAGAACAAAACGCGGGGTCAAGGGTCACATAGCATCGCCACTTTGCCAGCCTGGGTCAGCACGCGCCGTTTTGGTTGCGTGAATGCCCCCTCCGATGAGCGCGGTTGGCTAAGTAGGGTGCGAAAGAAGTTCATGATACATAGACGGCTTGGGGTGGAGAGATCACGACGTGGCCTGGTCCAAGCCAATTAACTTTTCTGAAGGATGTTAAGTAACTTAATGTGCGTGTGTGCGTGTGTTTCTTTAGTAACCAGCTTATGTCGATAACACTGGTCAACACACTTTTTCTGGCATAAGGTATTCCAACGGTTTTAATGTGATTTTGGGGTGCTGATTCCAAATCTGGCATCAGTTTTTGTCTATCACATCAGGTTTTTGAGATATCAAATATTGCATTTTCAATAAAAACTGCGGAAGAAAAATATTAAATAAATGTGGATATCTACATAAAATTATGTTATTAACACACTATCCTAAAAATACAGCACCATATTTTAACACTAAAGCAGTCACTAACTCGCAACAACTTGCAATCATAAGTGACAGAGTTAATTTCGGGTAAAATCAATGAAAATGGGGTATGCCGATAGCATAAAAATGAGATGTGATAGAGCAAATCTGAGATCAGATTTGGAATCAGCACCCTGAAATTAGTCTAAAACAGCTGCAAAAGTCCAGGCCAGAAAAAAATGTTTTTTTTTATGTTGACCAGTGTATAATCCACGTGTTCCTGCATGTGATGCGCTGTATTCGCGCAAAAACAAATATCTGCCGTGTAGCCTACACACACATTATCGGGGCAAGTGCTGTTAGCGAGCACCTATCAAGTCCGGCATTTATATGGCGTTCTAAACGCCCGGCCGCTTTTGTCTCTCTCAAGGCGACGTTTACACACCGCACCAAGTACTCATCTGGGCGGGGAATAGCGGTTGTGACCAGCACCACGTCCCCCGGGTGCCCGGCACACGCACGCCTAAAGGCTGAGTCGACCTAGGGGAGGCGCGTGAGCGGTTCAGACAGTCACCACCGATGTTAGCCGTGAGCGGGAAAACCAAAAAATACTCGGCCGTTCCACAGTCGCGGTGCGCCAACGACTGCGCCACCGCTCCCCCACGCGTGCACGCGCGCCACCACCACCACAGAGACAAAGATCCCCCATATAGCCTGTCACAGACTATTGGGACAAGTGCTTTTAGCGAGTAGCACCTGTGAAGACCGGCACGGCACACAAGGGGGTGGGTGGCCAGCACCACCCCAAACGCCTTTGTCTCCCCCATGTTTTACACACCGCACCGGGTACTCATTTGAGGCCGAGTCGACCTAGGAGAGGCCCCAGGGACCCGGGTTCGAAAGATAATCTCGACCGGTATTTGGTCGTCTCGAGCAGTGGGAATCAACTCGGGGAGGGAGAGGGGGCGGGGGGTCACCGGGGTCGTTCGGCGCAGCGTGCTACGAACCCCTCCATAAACCACCACCACCACCACCGCCACCACCACCACCACCGCCACCACCACCACTACCGCCACCACCACCACCACCGCCACCATCACCACCGCCACCACCACCACCGCTACCACCACCACCGCCGCCACCACCACCACCACCGCCACCATCACCACCGCCACCACCACCACCACCACCGCCGCCACCACCACCACCGCCACCACCACCGCCACCACCACCACCGCCACCACCACCGCCACCGCCACCACCACCACCACCGCCACCGCCACCACCACCACCACCACCGCCACCACCACCACTCACTGTCGGGCGAAGGAAGGTCCCCTCTGGTGACGCAGGGCTCTCTGTGTCGGTAGTAGTGTCCGCTTCCTTGCGCGTGCCTCCTCCGCATCTTCACCAGAAATGACCTCGGCATCTCTGACCCCCACGGCCCGTTTTCCCCGCTCTCTCCCCTCTCTCTCTCTACTGCCCTCTCCTATCTGCTGCCCCCTTCTCACTGCTGCCCCTTCCCCCTATTGCCCTCTCCTCCCTACTGCTCTCTTCCCCCTACCACCCTCCTCCCCTTTGCTGCCCCTCGCTCGCCGCTGCCACAGACCTCGTGCTCCTAGAAAGCTGCAGGGCCGCTCCGGTTATAGCGATTCGTTGATGATGTGTGTCAGATAATGTCCACTTCTCGCCGTTTCTTTCACGCCCTGCGCGTGAGAGAGTGGGAGGAGGGGAGGGGTAATGGGTGGGAGGGAGGGAGCGATGGTGGGGGTGGAGGGATGAAGGGGAAGGGAGTGGTGGGAGTAGTGGTGGGGAGAGCGGGTGCCGTGAGGACATCGTGAGGTTGGGGTGACGTGCGTGCATGAAAGCCCGAATCGACGGCCGCGTGGTTTGGCGAATTTTAATCGCGAATGTACGGTTTCACACTTTAAAAAGTGTAATCGGTATTATCATCATCGGCAGCAGCAGCAGTAGCAATGATTGTATACCTGTTAAATCATACGGTTTAGCCCTTATCTTGTACAGGGAAATTGAGTCATAAAAAAACACATTGCTTGTATCTATTTTGTTTGTGTGTTCTCTCCCTTGTGATGGGACTTTGTAGGATGAACGTTGAGATTTATAAGGGACACGGGGGTGACCAATACGGTCAGAATCGATCTGTAATAAGCTAGGGTGCCGATAAGGGGTTGACAGGTGTGTGACTGATCCACTGCTGGATGAATGCCTCGTCACCCCCCCCCCACCACCTCCACGCCGCGTCGCTTACCGGGGTGTATTTCACCATACTTCACCACAATGGTCAGTGCGCCTTGGCCAACGGCCGCGGTCGTGGTAGCGAACTCGGGTGGACCCGGGTTTGCGAGGTACGACGCGCTAAGCGCGGCGCCACCGCTCCAAAACCGTTGCAGAAGTTAATTAATGAATCACGCTCAAAACGTTTATTTAAATCTGGAAAATGTGAACGCTTCCAATCGAGGGAACGATTTAGACCGTAGCTGGGGGTGACGGAAATTCCACGTTGCGCGTACAAAGCACGCCAAACGCGTTCACTCCACTGCTGGATGAGGGGTCCAATTACTGGGCTATACTTCACCGCGTTCTGTCAATGCGGGATGGAGGAGACGTGGTCGAGAGGGGGGGGGCATTGACGTGGGGACTTGGGCACTCTCCCTATCCCTGCCGACCACGTTATCCCGCGTAGCCTATAGCACCTGTGAATGCACGCTGCTCGCCGCTTTATCCCGGGGGTTTAACAATCGTTGCTCAGCTTCCGATGGATCGGGGCCGCGTTGTGGGCGATTTGGAATATTGTCCTTTGATTGCTCGTTTGCTATACAAACTATGCGAATTCATCTCTTGTGGTTATACCACACACGCATTTGCGCAGTGAGGAAAATCATTTGTGCTCCCGATTTGGGGAATTTCAAATATATATATAACCTAAACAGGTTTTCGATGCTCCGAAAATTAGACGTCACGGGAGATGACGACACTTAGTGATTTTTTTCCACGTCATAGGATGACGTCACCTTTGTAAGCACGACATCGCGGTGAATAACTTGGGCCAGGGTTTTCCAAACTAAAACGAAACTATTTTTTTTATTTTAGCAGGTAAAGCTCACTGAGCTATGTAGCTCTTTATCAGAAGTGACCTTGCCATTACAAATGACAGCTCAATGAAGTGGCTTATCATCTCGTGGACATTATAGCAGCCAAATGTTGATTCTAAATGTGGAGTGGGAAAAAAACAGAGGACCCGAAGACAAATCCACGCGACCACGGAGAGAGAGACACGCAAACTCCAAATATACAGCAGCAGGCGTCAGGGTCGGCATCGAACCCACGACCTCCTGTATACCAGGCGAGGGAGTCAACATCTCTTAGCCACCGTGATGATGATGAGAGAGAGACACACAAACTCCAAATATACAGCAGCAGGCGTCAGGGTCGGGATCGAACCCACGACCTCCTTCATACCAGGCGACGTAGTTAACATCTCCTATCCACCGTGATGAAGATGAGAGAGAGAGAGACACGCAAACTCCAAATATACAGCAGGCGTCAGGCTCGGGATCGAACCCACGACCTCCTGTATACCAGGCGAGGGAGTCAACATCTCTTAGCCACCGTGATGATGATGAGAGAGAGACACACAAACTCCAAATATACAGCAGCAGGCGTCAGGGTCGGGATCGAACCCACGACCTCCTTCATACCAGGCGACGTAGTTAACATCTCCTATCCACCGTGATGAAGATGAGAGAGAGAGAGACACGCAAACTCCAAATATACAGCAGGCGTCAGGCTCGGGATCGAACCCACGACCTCCTGTATACCAGGCGAGGGAGTCAACATCTCTTAGCCACCGTGATGATGATGAGAGAGAGACACACAAACTCCAAATATACAGCAGCAGGCGTCAGGGTCGGGATCGAACCCACGACCTCCTTCATACCAGGCGACGTAGTTAACATCTCCTATCCACCGTGATGAAGATGAGAGAGAGAGAGACACGCAAACTCCAAATATACAGCAGGCGTCAGGCTCGGGATCGAACCCACGACCTCCTGTATACGAGGCGAGGTAGTCAACATCTCCTAGCCACCGAAGTGCTCGCGACCCCCACTCTTACTCCTCCCCCATTCAATCGTTCCACGCTGCACGCGCCAGATAGTTGCTAAACACGTCCCGAGTGCCGCGCTCATAAATTAACGCCGTCTGCGTTCATGGAACCGATTCACACTAAGACTGACATCTCAGCGTGTTGCACGTGTGCGTGTGTGTACACGCACTCCGTGTGTGTGTGTACACGTTGTTCGTACGTGTATACTTGTTCTGTGTGTATGTACACGTGTGCGTCCCACGTGTGTGTGCACGTGTTCTGTGTGTGTGTACACGTGTGTGTCCACGTGTGTGTACACGTGTTCTGTGTGTGTGTACACTTGTGCGTCCATGTGTGTGTACACGTGTTCTGTGTGTGTGTGAACACGTGCGTACACGTGTTCTGTGTGTATGTACACGTGTGCGTCCACGTGTGTGTACAAGTGTTCTGTGTGTGTGTACACGTGTGCGTCCACGTGTGTGTACACGTGTTCTGTGTGTGTGTACACGTGTGTGTACACGTGTTCTGTGTGTGTGTACACGTGTGTGTACACGTGCTCTGTGTGTATGTACACGTGTGCGCCCACGTGTTCCACGTGACGTGACAATCGCTTAGCGCGTCACGTGGGACGCGTTTAACAATCATCGGTCGCGTGAAGCGTGGAACGAGTTCATTTTAATTCGTGAGAAGTAACGTAACGTGCCGTGACGATGATGGTGGTGGTGGGCCGCGAGGTCTGGAGTTTAACAATCCCCGACGATTCAAAATCCGAACATTCGAATTCGTTTTTTTTTGTTAAATCTCAAAATTATTGCCCCACTGGCGCCTGTCCATTCCGGCGTGCCCGTGGGGCATGTTTGTGCCTGGGGGACATTCATTGGCAGTGTGAAAACGCATTCACATATTTGATCATCGCCACCAAATGCGTACGCAGCTTCCTTGCTCGCTATACCCTCTCGGTCGGCAGTAGGTCTCACAAATATTCCGCAGCCCCAAAAGATTCTACCTTGCCGATCCCTATTTGTTGTTGTTTTTGGGGGGGGGGGTGGGAGGGTGCTCGTGTTCACAACAAACGCCTGGGGCCGATTTTCATTTTTTGTCTCAGTCCCGTCACTTGCCCTCTTACCTATGCAGTCCAACTTTTCCTACACCGTACACAAAGTTGCGTCGATGCCACGCTCGCAGCCTGCCGTCGAGGGACAGTGGGTGAATTTGGGAGGGTGGAGGGTTGGGGAAATGCCTCTTAAGTGGAAAAGTGTAGCTGATGTGGGTGGATGTGTGTGTGTAGGTGGGGAGCGGTGGTGTAGCGGTTAGCACGCAGCACTACAAACCTGGCGACCCGGGTTCGATTCCCGCTCACGGCCAACACCGGTGACGATTATCTGAACCGGTGCTGGGCCTCGCCTAGGTCGACTCAGCCTCAAATGAGTACCTGGTGCGATTGTGTAAACATCGCCACTGGGGAGACAAAGGCGGCCGGGCGTGGTGTTGGCCACCCCACCCCCTGGTGTGCCGTGCCGACCTTCATAGGTGCTCGTTAACAGCACTTGCCCCTACAGTCTGTTAAGGCTATACGGGGATCTTTGTCTTTGTGGCGGTTAGCGCGTTGCGCTACGAAAGCCGGACAAGCCGTCGATTCCCGCTCACGGGGGCGAACACCACAGTGACGATTATTTGAACCGGTCCTGGGCCTCCCCTAGGTCGACTCAGCCTCAAATGAGTACCTGGTGCGATTGTGTAAACATCGCCACTGGGGAGACAAAGGCGGCTGGGCGTGGTGTTGGCCACCCACCCCCTCGTGTGCCGTGTCGGCCTTCATAGGTGCTACTCGTTCACAGCACTTGCCCCAACAGTCCGTGAAAGGCTATCCGGTGGAAGTTTGTCTTTTGTTGATTTGAGCAAATCATACAAAGGAGAACGGGGGTGGCCTGTGATAAGGACATGAGATCGAGACTTTGAGTAAAAGGTACAAACGTGGTCAGAGCTCGGCAGGTGATAAGGGAGTGATAACTCTACACACATTGTGTGCGTGGAAATGTTACTGGTAGGAACCTCCTGATTACAGGGAGGTTCCTACCATAAGTAGCTACTACATATGTAGCTACTTGTGCTACTAGGATATAATCCGGCACTGCTTGGTACAGGATCTCGCAGTTCTTCTGCTGCTGGCATGATACGCGATGTTACTGTATGTTGAACTTCTTTCGCACCGTACATCGCCATCCGTATTAATCGGAGGTGCGGGAGCCAGGACTAGCACACACAAAGCAACTCAAACGAGTTTTCAGCGATTTCCCGGGTGGTGCCGCGTGCGGTTTGGCACGAATGTCCGACGTTTCGCACTACTTGCTTGGGAGCCTTTTCAGTCGCTGTTCACAATTGAAGC